AATGGACACAGTTCAAGAAGTAATGCTCACTGCCAGGCAGGGCACACAAGGCAGCAGGATCTCAAAGACGCTGTGTCTGGAGTAGAAGAAGTTCTGGGTGAGGACAGGATGGCAGGAGGAAAGGAGGGGGGCCCCTGAGGGAGAGAAGAGAAGACAGATTGGAGTTGTCTTCTTTGATATCCCCAGGGGCTGGTTTCGGAGTCTCATTCTCTGGGACTCCAGAAGACAGCCTCCTGCGCCTGGATCATGTGCTGCTCACCTGCCCATTTTCCTACTAGATTAGGAGGAACACATGCAGACCAGAGACTGTTTCTTACTCAGCCTTATTTTCCTAAAGCATAGGAGACTGTTTGGCATGTAGGAGGAGCTCAACACATGTGAACTGGTAATGAAAGAATAAAGCAATTCCAAAACATGAATGGCATTGGGAGCAGAAGAATCCCCTGACAGAAGTTACTTGATTATTTAGAATTCTCTTAAGGCTGGGACCGAATGGCATGACTTTTAGCGAGTCCTTAAACCTGATGGCAGAAACAGTGAGGGTCCCTGTGATTATAAATTTAGACTGATACTTGGCCGAGGGCAGTGCAATGAGAATGGTAGAAGATGAGGTCAGAGGCTCCTGTGATTGGTGACAATGACGGTGGCTTGGGCTGGGAAGGTAGGTGGGGGTGGAGGTGGTGAGAAGCAGCTGGGGTTTGGATATAGTTGGAAGGTAGAGCCAATGCGACGATGTGCTGATAAATCACATTTGGGGTGTAGACAAAGAGAGGAATCAAGGATACCTCCAGAGTTTTTTTGTGTGAGCAACTGGTTGCAAAGTGGTGCCATTTGTGGAGAAAGGGAAGGACTAATTTTGCAGAACATTCATTCCGAGCACGGTAGGTCTGAAGCCTGTGCGTCGAGGTGTGGAGAAGGCAGGAGATCTGAGGCAGGAGAGCAGGAGCCACGTCTCCTACATTTGAAGGTCAGTAACATATACATGGTTTTTAAAACCATGAGACCAGATGATATCACTGCACTGGGTTGAATCGTGTCTTCTCCAAAATTTATGTCCACCAGGAACTTGTGAATGTGATCTTATTTGGAAATGGGGTTTTGCAGATGTAATCAAGCTAAGATGAGGTCATACTGGATTAGGACGTACCCTAACCTAGTGGCTGTTGTCCTTATAAGAAGAAAGAAATGTGGACAATGACAAACACGGAAGGAAGATAGCCACACAAAGATGGAGGCAGAGATGGAGCTAGGCTAGCACAAACAGGAGCACCAAGGGTTGCCAGCAACCACCAGCGGCTAGAAGAGGCAAGGAAGGATTCTTCCCTGGAGATTTCAGAGAGAGCATGGTGACTTGATTTCAGACTTCTGGCCTCTGGGACTGTGAGAAAATAAATTTCTGTTGTTTTAAGCCACTTGGTGAGTGGTGTTTTGTGTCAGCAGCCCTAGGAAACCACTACAGTCACCAAGGGCATGGTGTAGACAGTGGACAGATGAGTCCCAAGGGTGAAGCCCTGGCAAACTCCACCCTGTAGGGGCCAGGAAGAGGATGAAGATCCTGCAAAAGAGACAAGAAAGGCACAGCGAGGGAGGTAGGAGGAAAACCAGGGCCAGGAGTGTATGATGCTCTTGAGCCAACATGAGCAAAGTGTTCCAAGAAGAATGCGAGCCTGAGAACTGGTTCTCGCACTTAGCCACGTGGAGGTCCCTGGAGACCTTACTTAGCCCAGTTTTGGCGGAATGATTGGCCCATGTTAGAGAAGGGTAGGGTGAGGAGGTGCGGATAGCAAGCAGACAGTGACTACATTGACCTTGATTTAGAAATTGGCAAAGAATGAAAGTGAGTTTTCTCCTGCAGCAACCCTGTGAGACAGGCATCATTATATGCAGAAAGGGAAACTGAGGCTTGGAGGTATTAAAGGATTCATCCAAGGCCCTCAACAGCCAGGAAGTATAGGGACCCAGGTCTTCTGAAACAAAAGTCTATGCTCTTTCTATGTTTCCATGTGGCAGTTGATGTGATGGATAAACCTCAGAGAGGCTTGGAACAAAACTGTTTCTTGGTTGTGCCCAATGAGTGCCAAGGCCTTTGCAGGAAACACCTCCATTTAAAGAAGACTTTCAACAGCCCTTTACCTGAGCCAGACGCTTGCCTGGCCTCCCCCAGAGGGCAGAGGCACATCCCTCCTCCTCCCAGGTGGGGGCAAGGGGATGCACAGGGATGCAGAAGCTCATCCTAAGTGGCTGGCTCGTCTGTTTCCTCTTCCCCATCCTGTGTGCTTAAGTAGGGGTTGAAAACTCAAATGTCCACAGGTAAAGTAGACCTAGGATAGGACAATGGGAAATGGGTGAGTCAGTGGGTGAACTTGGGCATGAAGGCCCCACCTAGAGGTGTTCAAATTCAAGTTTTAAAAACTGAGTGTCACACAGCTGGCAAAGATGTGGAACAACAGGAACTCTCAACCATCGCTGCTGGGAATACAAAAAGGTACGGCCACTTTGGAAGGGGTTGGCAGTTTCTTATAAAATGAAACATGCTCTTACCATGCCGTCCAGCAATCGTGCGTGCTCCTTGGCATTTACACAAATGGGCTGAAAACTTACGTCCACACAAAAACCTACCCATGGGTGTGGGTAGCAGCTTTATTCTTGATTGACAAAACTTGTAAGTGACCAAGATGTCCTTCAAGAGGTGAATGGATAAATAAACTATGGTACATCCAGACAATGGGATATTATTCAGGGCTAAAAAGAAATGAGCTATCAAGCCATGGAAAGCCATGGAAAGCCATGGAGGAAACTTAAATGCATACTACTAAGTGAAAGAAACCAGTCTGGAAAGGCTACGTACTGTGTAATTCCAGCTATCTGACATCCTGAAAAAGGCAAAAACTTGGAGACAATAGAAAGATCAGCGTTGCCGGGGGTTGAGGGAGGGATGAAAGGTGGAGCACAGAGGGTTTCTAGGGCAGCGAAACTACTCTGTAGGACACCATAATGGTAAATGTACGTCATAATACAATCGTCCAAACCCCTAGAACAAACCCTTGGACACCAAGAATGCACCCTAATGTACGCTATGGACTTTGGGTAACGGTGATGGGTCCATGTAGGTTCGTTGCTTGTAACGCATGCCCCACTCTGGTGGGAGGTGCTGACAGTGTGTGTGGGGGGTGTTGGGGGGAAGGGGGTGTGTGGGAACTCACTGTACTTTCTGCTCAATTTTGCTGCAAACCCAAAAGTGCTCTAAAAAAATAGTCTATTAAAAAAAAAAAACTCAAACAAAAAACTGTGAGTCTGCCAACAAATGTGACCATGGCTAAACATGGTCCTGGCCGGTGTGTGAACTCAGCGGCTTTAAGGGACCCTCCCAGGCCTCCTTGCCCAGGAGTGGGTCCTTCCCCCCCCCCCAGGTGCCTGGTCCTGGCACACACGGGTGCCTATTGAGGAAGGAGACCAGCCCCGAGGGCTAAGGGGACACTGTCACTCCACAGCCCTGTCCAGATCCTCCCTTCACGGCACTGGGCTCCCTTCAGCATGTCTTGCTGACTGTCAACCCCTTGCTGTCATTTTGTCATTGTCATTCACTTGTCTCTCCAGAACCACATTTTTTGCTGCCTTAGGAGGGTGGTCTGTGTGGTCTGCCTCAGTGGCCCCTGTGGCCTCTGGCTGGAGGTCTGAGGAGGGAGGGGAGTGAGGAAGGGACCTGTTGCCCTGCTTCCTTTCCCACAGGGTGCTGTGGGCCCCTCCATAGATCACAGCTCTCTCAGGTGGTCTTCCCTACCTGACCCTCCTGCCCTCCACACTGAATGCTCGGGGTGGTTACAGCTCTCTGCTTTTGTAGCCCTGGACACAGCAGCATCCCCTGGGGTGTCCCTGTGCCGGCCCACACCTTTGCAAATAGTCCCCTTTGAATAGTGTCCCCCCAAAATTCATGTTCACCCAGAACTTGAGGACGAGATCTTATTTGGAAAGAGAGTCTTTGCAGATGCAGTTAGTTAAGAGGAGGTCATATTTATTTAGGGTGGACCCTAAATCCCATGACTGGGGTCCTTATGAGGAGGCCTTGAGCAGACACATGATCCACAGGGTGGTGGAGACAGATTGGGGTGACACAGCTACAAGCCAGGGGGCACCGAGAGCTGTCGGCAGCACCAAGTGTGAGGAGAGGGACAAAAGGAATCGCCCCTGCCAATGCCTTGATTTTAGGTCTGTCTTCTCAACTGTGTGAGAAATAGATTTCTGTTGTTTTAAGCCACCCGGTTTGTGGTGATCTGTTGTAGCAGCCCCAGGAGGCGAATACACCCTTTATCACACTTGCTGTCAGTCCCGCCAGCCTGAGCCGGGGCCTGACTGATGTCGTTCTCCAGCTCATCTCCTCGCCCAGAGGCCTTCCCTTGTCCTCAGTGGGCCGCAAATCCTCCCCTGGCCCTGATGCCCCTCCCTGCTGAGGCCGAGCTGCTTTCCAGCCCTCCTATCGCCTGCTTCCCGCACTTGCCAAGCCACGACCTCAGCCAAACGGGGCTCTTGGCTTCTAACCCTGCTTTGTGTTTTCCCCAGTAACCTTCGCTCCTTCCTAGGCCCAGCTTTACCCTTTTCCTCCAGCAGGAAGCTTCTGGACTCCCCGGCCTGCAGGGAAGTGCCTTGTTAGCTCCTGGGCCAACATGCCCCACGCGCCATGGGGAGGTGCCCTGTGGTGTGCACATTGGCGTCCTGTGTGTGCTTCCTGCTGGCTAGACTGCAGGCCACGCGAGGACAGGGACGGCGCCAGACTCTTTATTTCAGGTCCTGCAGCGCCGGGCACATGGCAATGAGTGCAAAGCAAGGGCCTGACATGTTTCTGGAACTGACGCTCTTAATGTACCACCCGGGAGAAAGCAAAACCTTGTAGGCTCCAGGGAGAACCTGGAGTCCTGGGCTCAGTGACTCAACACGGGGGCCTGTGGGGCTCATTAGCACCCACCCATCTGTGACATCACAGTAGGGGGTAGGGACAGGGCCTTTAACAATATGTACCGAGTAGACTTTGATGGACTCAAAAAGATACCACGAGAGGTGGGGAAAAAAGTGTCCTCTCTCTCCCCAGTTACAGCTTTCCTCTCTTCTCTCGCCGCACATTTCAGTTCTCAGCCCAGCTGGGACAAGAGTGAGGGGGTCTGGCTCTCATCCTGGGGCGGGGGGTGTTGGGAAAGAGGCTCCTGGGGGCGTGCTCCCGCCTGGAGGAGTCAGACGTCTCCTGTCCTTCATCCGTTCCACCCTTCCCTGGAAACTCCTCCACTCACTGGTGTTCCCGCCATCAGCTCCTCCTCCCCGGCCCTCAGTTGCGCCCCCACTCTTCTCCTTTTCGGGACAATGAAGAGATGCCCTGTGGTAGAATCTGCGCCCGAGTCCCCGTTCCAGGAGGAAGAGAGAATGTCCTCCAGAAAGACGCAGCGTGAGTGTGGCACTGGGCTGGGGAGTTGTGGCTTTCGTCTTTCTTCTGAGTCAACTGATCTGAACTTTCCTCCTGTTTAGGGACTCCCTGTGCCGTTGCAAGGGACCAAGGTGGGAGACCATGGGGGGCCTGGGGTCTCTGCCCTCTCCTCCTCCAGGGAATGAGCCCTGTCCCTCCGTGCTCGGAGCCCTGCCTCTGTGGGTGCAGCCTGAAGACGAAGGTGGTGCTGCACCCCAGGCCCCCTTCCGCGCCTCGGCCGGCCTCTGGGGCGCTGCCCAGCTTGCCATCAGGGAGGAAGCCGCCGTCTCCGACACTGGTTGTCTTCAAGGCTCAGCTCTCCCACAGCTCCTCAAAGCCCAAGGCCAAGGCCGCGTCCCAGCTGTTGTCTCGGGGCAGGTCAAGCCCCTCCTGCAATGCCACGTGCCTGCACAATCTGGTGCTCATGGGCGTGTGGCCCGAGAGATTTATTGACGCATTCTCCAAGTCCTTGCCGAAGGAGTCCCTGCACATCTCCAACCACAATGAACGGAGCCTTATCCCCAGCCAGGACGCCATGTCCTCAGTGATGTCACTTGTGGAAGGTGACAAGTCTTTTCTACCACCCTTATTTAAATGAAAATGTATTTAGTCAATACTGGTCTTTCTCTTGTGTCTACTGAAGGCATGGTAAGAGTCTGTTTTAAGACAGAATATATGTTATCTCTTCGTTCTACTCCCAGTTGAGTTTTCCAGGGTCCTGATTTTGTGGCTGAGGGTCTTGATGGTCCTTCAGGTATGGCTGCCTATAACCCTGTACATAGAGAATACTAGGACCCTTGGATCTTTTTCTATAGCATCCAGGTTCCAGTGGGCCATGGAGTCAGGTCCACCTGAGTTCAGCTCCCACAAATAAACCTGCTGGGGTTGGAATTTTTCCAACTTTGATTGGAATTGTATTGAATCTATGGATCAGTTTGGAAAATTGACATCATTATAGTATGAGTCTTCTCATTTGTGAATGTGGCATAACTCTACATTTATTTAGGTCTTTAAATTCCCTCAATAATGTTTTGTAGTTCAGTGTGGAGGTCTTGTACATTTTTAATTAGGTTTATTCCTAGGCATTTGATGGGTTTTGCTGCTACTGCAAATTGCATTTTTGTAAGGAATTTTTCTAAGTGATGGGCAGTGTAGGAAGGATAGCCTTACCAATACCTACCCTTTCTCTGTTTTTTTAAAAAAAACAGTTTTATTGAGCTATAATTCACATACCATTCACCCACATAAGTATACAATTCAGTGGCTTCTAGAATATTCACAGATGTGTGTAACAGTCATCATGGTCAATTTTAGAACATTTTCATCACCTCAGAAAGAACCCCCATACCCTTTAACCATTACCCACCTATTGCATTCGCTACGGTCTGAGTGTGTGTGTTCCCCCAAATTCATATGTTAAATCCTAGCCCTCAAAGTGATGGTATAGGAGGTGGAACCTTGTAGGAGGTGGTAGGTCATGAGAGCAGAGTCCTCACGAATGGGATTAGTGTCCTTATGGAAGAGGCCCCAGACACTGAGCAGTGGCTCGGGAACCGTCCTGGGCGGGCACGGAAGGAATCCTGGCTCCGGAGCGAGGTGGCTTCACCACTCGGGGAGAGGTCGCTACGCTGCGTGGCCCGGCGGCCGAGCCCTTTGCAGAGGCCTTGGGGTTCGCCAGGGCTTCACCTCCTTCCGGCCACGCGGCCAGCGTCCCCCACCCCGCCACCATCCCGGCGCCCAACCTCAGGAGCAGGAGTGTGGGGAGGGGCGCACCCGCTTGCTCCGAATTCTTCACTGCAGAGCTGCGCCGCGCAAACCGCGGCGGGAAGCGCGGGTGTAAAGCTCCGTCGGCCGCTTGAGTCAGGGCCGGCGACGACATGGACACCCGGGCTTCTGTCCTCTTTATCCCCAGCTCCTTTTCGCGGAACAGGCGTGTCTGACGGTCGGGCCGTCCTAAGTGCAGTCTCCCTACTCCCTGCCCGCGCTCTCCAGCTCCCGGTTACTTCCCGCGCTTGGACGCGGGACCCGAGCGCCCTCCGGGGAGCGACGCTCACGCACGCGTGCACTGCCCGCACTGGCGAGCCCGCTCCCGGTCCCTCCGCGCCGCGGCGCCGCGAGCACGTTGCTGCCGGGCTCCAGACGCCTCGCCAGCCCCAGGCTCGACTTTCCTGCAGTCTCAGACCCAACCGCAGTCAGCACCGGTCGGCGTGCCGGACGCTCGCTACCTCCGTGCCCGCCCGGGCACCCGCGAACGCGCGCCGCCAGAGCCCTTCTCGCGCGCACTCCCGGGAAGAGCGAACAGCGCCCGAGAGAACTCCTCTTTCCCTGAGTGCCCTATCTAGGCTGGAAATGGGATTTTTCTTTTTCTTTTTTCCCACTGTTTCTTTAAGAGAATAGAAAAAAGTAGTAGACATAAACACCACCACCACCGCCTCGTCCCGGTTCCCAAATCGCTTCCTTTCGCCATCTGAAACCGAGCAATTCTGGCAGAAGGAGTCCTTTCCTTTCGGATCCTTCAAAAAGCGCCACTTTTGAGACGGCGGTAAACCTGCTGCTGCTTGAGTTCCTCCCCCCACCCGCATCACTGCTCTTCCCAGAGCCTGCTTGTGTAGACTTGACCTCTAAGAGCTCCCGAGGGGTAGGTTGGAAAGCCCAGCTCCGGGTTTCTGGGGCAGCGTTTGTCGGGTCAACCTCTCGCTCTGCTCCTATCCCCTTCCTCCAAGGCCGGTCCCCTCTTCCACCCCCCCCCACCCTCGCGTGGGACTCAGACACCGATCCCGGGGCGAGGACGCGGCTGACAGTTAAATTGCAGTGTAGGCCGAGCGGGGAAAAGGGACCGTGTCTCTTTAACGGGCCCTGCAGACAAAGCGTCTCCCCTCGGAGCGAGCGGAGCGGGGCGCAGCCGCGCGCAGACCTGTCAGCGCGTCTCCCGCGCTTGGGAGAGAGTTTGCAAAGTCATAATTATATCTCTTAACCTGTCTTGCTCTCGTCTGCAGAAGAAGGTCCCATTATATTGAAATGAGATTATTAGCCATCAAATACTTTCTTTTCGGGAGTTTTTTTTTTTTTATTCAAATACCTTAACGACTTGCAATTGCATTTTGATCAGATTTAGTTGGCGCCCCAGCCCGCGCGGAGCCGGGGCGGGAAAGGCAGCTGGTTAGGGAGGGTGGAAGGGGTGTCAAAGGAGTTTGCAAAAGAAAAGCAACCCTTCTTTTTTCTTCTAGGGTTTCGTCTACCTCTAGGCCTGGCAGGCTGAGATAAGGAAGTAGGGGGGAATGGAGACGTCTTCTATCCCCTTCGGCCCCTTAGGCTAGAATACTTTTGAACATGGAAACGTGGTTTCCCGAGGGGTCGCGGCGGTGGGTCGGACGTCGAGGGCGGTAGACGCACGGATGCAGAATGGAGGGCTGCAGGGATTGGGCAGGGTCTGGACCGCAAGGTAGGACTGAGGCTGGCGCTGGGGTGCGCGGGCGAGCTGTTTCCGGCTGGAGTTGGCTCCAGGCTGCATGCCGTTCCTGGTGGATGGAATTTCGAGTTCCGTAATAATGGGTTTTGCTCTACCCCAAAGGTCCCTGCTCTGGTTTTAC